TAATAATAATAATAATAATAATAATAATAATAATAATAATATTAATAATAATATTAATAATGGACAATTTAATAATGGATAATTAATGAAATAAAATATATATGTATATATCAACCTATTGTTTCTATTTCTCGTTGTTATTATTATTATTAATGTTGTTGTCTTTCTATACACACACACTTCACACGTACGCACACGTACACGCGCCCAAAATATTTTAATTACCTAACAATCCCAAAAACCCTTTTACTTTTTTCATTAAAGGTTTTTTTCCTTTTTAATTTCTGTTATCTTTAAGCTTCGTCAAAGTAACATAATTTTTCTAATCAATTTAATCTGATGAGTCTCATTATCAATTATTTAACATCACAATTTAATAGTTTGCATTATTATGTATATATTGTGTGTATGTTTAAATAAATAATTACAGTGGCTAATCAGAGAATTTGGAAGAATGAAAATTATATGTGATATAATTTCTATTAAAATGATTAATATATTCTAAAATAAAAATATGTATAAATATTTGACTTTAGTGAAATTGTGATAGGATGGTGGTGGTGGGGTAAGGCCCCATTACTATCTACACAATTACCGATATACATATATACGTAATACTCGCAACATATAAAATAACAAAAATAAGATAAGATTAGTTATTCTTAATTTGGTATAATATTAATCCTGCGATTCTATTTTTTTTTCTTTCTTCCCGTTTTTTTTTTTTCATTTCCATTTCCGTTTCTTTTTGACCATTGTTTTGTTATCCTTTTTTCGGCCCAATAAATTTATTCCTTTCTTTTTTTTTTTTTTTTTTTTCTTTTTTTCTTATAACATTTTTTCTTTCTTTCTTTTGGTACAAATTAAATCAGCAGGCCTTGCAACATGGCACGTTACTGGTGATCGAAGTAATGCAAGTGGTGTCGTCGGTTCCGTAGCTGGTGCTCCGGGCACGACAGACGAAGTCTTCCTCGCAGCTCAGGAGGCCGCACAGGCCCACCGCGACTCACAAGGTAGGCTCATCATCTTCGTTTATTTAATATGTCTGGCCCACCGTAACAATAGGCACTGAGTTTTCTCGGATGATTATATTATTTATTATAATCATCATCTCCCCCAACCACCCCTTGATTCATTAACATTTGGCAAGTTTTTTTTTATTTTATATTATCATTAACACAAAATACCTATGATGGTTATGTATTATATTATTCAATTCACAATGAGCTATTAATTAATACAAATATATTTGCAGTCTTTTGTTAGCAGGAACGATGATTGGATATTAATTTTTTTCTTTTTTACAAATTTTTACCAAATTTTCTTTTTATGCTAATGGTAAGCGTAAATATTCGATTTATTGGTTTTATTAATTTTTTTTTTTTTTTTTTTTAAATCAAAATCTTATGAAAATTATTATTTGCCAAATTATATTCTCAATTTTATTCTAATTATTATTATTATTATTGTTAGAAGTTAGTTAACGATAGTAATATATGTATATAGATTGGAGGAGAATGTTTGAGATAAATATGAACGTTTTGTTATTATGAAAATTAAATGAAAATATAATATAACGAGAGTGCCAATTGCGCAGGTTCGCCAGGTTGGTCTTTTTGTTCGTTTAAAAAAAAAGGGGGGATATATATATATATATATATATAATCTTTATATATATATATATTGTTTTTCCCTTTCGCTGTTGGGTAACGTGGTACAAACTTAGATTCCGGTATGTTCAAGAGTAGCACGGTCTCTGAAAAATAAAACAAATAAAATAAATCCAAAAGAGAAAAAAAAGATAAGAAAAATGAAACGAAAACGACATACGTATTATATATATATGAGATATGTGACGAACACACGCACGCACACACACACGCACGCACGCACACATTATATATAAATATATATATATTATATATATATTTATTCAAGGTATGTAGTTAAAAAAAATGTGTATATATATATATATATATATTTGTTTTTTTACTGACATACTACAATCCTTTTATATATGATACACATACAGATACTCACACATACAACTTATTATCTAATTTTCATTTTTATTTAAAAAAGAAAAATATTTTTAAACGAGCGACGCCACGGTGCACCAATGAAAATGTTGCAGCGAAAGAAAAATTCTTAATTATACTAATTCTTTCGTTTCTTCTTATTATTATACTTAATCTTCCTTTTTCTCTACTACATACATATATATCTTTTTTCTTTAACTTTTTTGTTTTTCTTAGCTATTATTTATAATCCCTTCATTCTGTGTGTTTTTTTTTTGTTATTGTTGCTTTTTCTTATCATTTTTCCAACCACTTGTTTTTTTTTCATTCGTTCTCGACATATTTTGTTCGAGTGTAACGCGACGTCGCTTAATTTAGTTTTTCCTCTCTCTCCTTTGATCAAAAGGAACTCTATAACGAAAGAAGAGAGGAGAGAAAAGGAGGAGAGCAAGCAACAACGCCCTCTCCCTCAGGCTCTTTTCAAAATATCAACTCACGCATGTCGAACGAAAATTAACGGAGTATTATTTATATATATTTCAAAACAAAAAAGAAAAGAATCATTTCAATTAGATTATTACGATTAATTATTACAATCGAATTTTTGATGTATTTTCAAAATAGATTTTTATTTTTCATATTTTTTTCTCTTCTACTACTACTTTACTATATACTACTGTTGCTGCTACTACTAATTACTATTACTACTATTTTAATTTCTTCTTCTTCTTCTTCTTCTTATTCTCAATACACCCCGTGATTTAATAATAAATTAATTAAAATTATATAAGATTATATATTATTAAAACAAAAGGATTAGATAAAATTAAATATAAATGAAATGAAATAATGAATATTAAAGTTAGATGATAATACCAAAATAGGGATCCCTCCTCCTAAACGTAATATTTGTTCAATTATTTACCGATAAATAATTGTATTATTAGAAAAGATTTTAGAATATTAATTAAACGAATGGTGAGAAAGTGAGAAATTAACGATACACAACCGATCGATGATAGAAAATATTTTTCTTTCTCACATTATGACACGACACGAATGATTTCTATACAATTTATCAATTATTATTTTAATAAATATGAAATTGTTTGTAAATAATTTACGAATTGGCGTTTAAACTCTCTCGATTGGTGTGTGCAATATTTGTACGTTTAATAGAAATATTTGATAAAACAACGATTATTAATATTATTTCGTTCTGATGCAGGTAATGCAATATTGCGTGCTACAATGCAGTTTTAAAATGATTATCATCTTATTGACGTCATTTATCCACGAAGCAATTACAACAAATGACAAATCAGATATTCTTCTTCTTCTTCTTCTTCTTCAGCTTTTTATTGCTGTTGAAGTTAACAACAACAAAAACGAGGCCTATTATTAATCCTGGACTCGGTTAAACAGTCCTTCTTTCATCATCAATAGTTCATCATCAATTTTTATTTTCAGTAATTTTACTTTTTTACTGAAACTTACTATGAAATTATCAATTGTGTTCTATTATCGTTCAGCGCAACGTAATTTGTGATTGAACTTAAACTAAAAATTGATATTCTCGATCAATGAGAACAAAAATTCTCTGATCATATATTCTCCCTTAAGAAAAGAAATAAACCACATTGGATAATATTTATAGATCAGAATAATAACCCCCACAATAGAAATGAAAAATATTCGATTAGATTAGAATTGCACAGCACAATTCTAATCATACGTATCTATTTTCAGATCACTCGTGTGTGTGTGTTTGAAAATGATTATATAGGTGTGATTATTACCCATGGATTACTCAATGAGATTTAATATTTTTTTGATGTTGATGACACTCCTTTTTAATGGTCATCGAACCGCTTCAAAGATTATACCACGTACTACTATTATTATTATTACCGATTAGGTAACTCTGTTGGTTGGTCTTTGGCCAATTGGCAACGATGAAATTGATTTTTATAAAGGAGTAATATATACTTCATTTCTGATGTCAGCTAATTCTCTTTTTCCTCTTCTTCTTCTTCTTTTTTATTCTTATATTCTTATATTCTGGTTCGTTGCATCTGCTAGTTAACAACAACCGCAACAGCTGCATCTTCTAGCAAGCAAGCAAGCAGATGATTTAGCATAGAATTTGTGCTAATTATATACATTTCTCTCGACCCTCCCCCATTAATAAAACTTCTTTTATTTATTCATTCGCAAATAACTGAATTTAATAGGACACACAATTATCTTCACGTTAATTAAACTAATAACTCTGTTATCATATAATAAATTAATCGGCAAGGTTACTTCAAAAATAACCAGAGGATCTTTATTAGACCAAAGTATAATTATGTTGAGGATTAAAACAAGATCCCTGGGGGAGGGGTATTCTTCATATTTATTGATTAAAAAAAAAATACAAAAGGAAAATATTTAATAGGACGATAAGATGGATTTGATTTAAATAATTAATTAGGACACCACCACCACCTAATCTTGAGAGTGTTAAACACGAAATTTTGATTTCCTGTATTTCTTATGGTTTGGGTAGGGGGAGGGAACTTTTTCTTTTAGCATTGACACGCGATATTGTTTAATAGTTTTTCTATTAAATCAAATAAATTAGTTTATATTTTATCTCAATATATATAAACATATATTAAAAGTAACTAGAGTTAGTAGTTAGATGATTACCCAGTTGAGAACTGAGGTGATCCAACGTGGGAAACAAGGTAATTCAGGAGAGAGAGGAGCGGTTTCCTCTGTCAATGCTAGCAGTTATGATGCCCGTTAATTATTAACACAGTTTATGGTTCCACTCGTCAATGAGTGGGCACAAACAAAACAATATCTCGAGTTAGATATTTTGTTTGTTTGTATATTTATAGAATTTACAATTAAAAATCGTTTGGAATGAACGTATATATATATTGATTATTTATTTGACGATATTTAATGTCACTTAATCGATATTATTTATCATTTTTAATTACGAACTGTTCTTTTTATTGAAAAAGAAAAAAAAGAAGAAGGAAGAGGAGTAGGCACACGCGTGTAAATATGTAATTAATTAATTAATTATTTGAAACAAAAAAAAATATAAACGGACGATGCTCGCATTGATGGCGGAGGTCGTTTTTTTCACCGTCAGAGACTTTGTTACCTTGAATGGTTTATTATTATTATTATTATTATTCGATTGGACGACAATGACGATACGACTTGCGTGATGACAGTATTATTATTATTATTATAAATATGTTATTTTAAAAAACATAATATACTACTATTCGATAAAAGATCTCACTTGAAAGGATGAATATAAAAAAATATTAAATAATTAAAAAAAATATAAATTTCGTTGAATTAAATTAAATCTTCACAATTCCAATATTTTCATTCGCATTATTTCTCGTAATTAAAAACGTAAAATTTTAACTTCTACTTCTTTGTTTTTTTTTTTTTATATATATTGGAATTAGATCTGTCTAAATTTATTTAAAAGAAATTTTTTGTATTTAAAATGTTTTATTCTCAAATTCAAATTAAATTTTTTCGTTTACAAAGACAGGTTTTTTTTATTAAAATAATAATGAAAGAGATAGAGTGTGAATGTGTTTTGTATGCGTGTGTGCGTGCATCTGTGTGCGAGAGAGAAAGATAGCGAACAAATAGAATACATGATACACGTGTTCAGTATACTAAATTAGTTTATTAATATTATTATTATTATAAAATGATTATAATAATGAGATGATAAAAAACAATTCGTGCCGTAATTGAATTAGAACCGGATTTTGTGCCACGTTATTCCCAGCAACAATATTTTGGGGGAGAAAAAAATGAGAGATCGACAATTCTCTCATTTTTTTCCCCCTTTATATTTAAATATACATGTCCGTTTAAAAAGAAAAAAAAGAAAAGAGACCACGTTTGGGGCAATGGTAAACAAGTTTTTCGAAAGTGTTCCATCACTCCTATATAATATTCATTTT